ATTAAAGTCTTGTTGTTTTGTGAATGCTGCTGGAGTGGTTGGCCTTGCTCCTGCAGGCCACGTGGACTGGGGAGGGAGGGGAGACAAGGAAATGGAGTGGGGTTGGGGGGCTCGATGATAGGGACCTCACCCACTCCTGCCTGCTCCTCTTCCTGGGGCCTGGATCCTTCCCGCTGAGGAGCAGATGGAACCTTCCAGGGGTCTGCCCTGAGGATGCTCCTGGCAGTAGACTGTGGACAAGGCAGAGGCCTGGGGTTCAGTGGCATGGCAGCCTTCTTGTGTGCACTAGGGCTACAGAGATCTGGGAGTCCCAGCCTGCCAGGGACTGCAGGCTACCCCAGCTCTCCTGTCTGACCCGACCTGAAGATCTGGGAGTGTGGCCCAGAAGAGCTCTTGCCTAGCCGTCTGCCCTCGGTGCCCGTGGCTGGCCCCAGTCCCGCTTCCCAGGGACTGGCTTGCTGCCTGAGACACTGGACAGCCCCTCCCCACCCCCGGGGCCCTCTGTGCGGCTCTGCCTGCTCGCCTGCCCTTGTATATCGCAGTGCCAGCAAGCTGCGATTCTTGGGGTACCTAACTGTTCCTGCAGTGGTTTGGGGAATGGTGTTTTTTATGAAATAAAACTTTTTTATTATAAATTTCATAGACTTTCAGAACATTTAGAAAATAGGAAAAAGTCACCTGTAAGTTCATCTCCACTCAATCCCAACCCAACCACTATTAACATTTTGGTGTATTTCCTCGTATTTTCTCCAAGGAGTTGTTTTATACATGACTGAGTCAGTCTGTTTTGTACTCAGTTTCTTCCTTTTGACACTGTATTGTGGTCATTTTCTGTGTTGCTACCTAACCTTCATTTTAAATGGCTGTTTGTGTTCCCTTCTGTGGCTTCGCTGTGATTCACAGAACCATCCCTCATTTGAAAGAAAAAAAAATCCGGTTTCTTCATTGTTTGCAGAGCTAGGTTATTTTCATATTTTCATGGGATAGAGAAAAAAGAAAATCAAGGAGCTCCTACATTTTACTCTGTCACTGTTTTCATTTAACCGATCTTATTTAACTCCTTTCCATGATTTTGAGGTAGACATTATTTATTTATATTTATTTATATTTTACAGAAGAGGAGAGAGACAGGCTGGGGTTAAGTGAGTCACCCAAGGTCACACAGCAGTTTTAGCAACAGAATTGGTGTTTGAACCAAGCTTTCTGACTATAGCCTCATTTACATTAGTCTCAGCCCTTCACAGATTTTGCAGATGGGCTTGCTGGCCTCTCTGTCCTCCTTCCAACACAGACACTTTATAGCTGATCATGTTCCAAGTGGCACCGAGTGACCCTTCCCTATCTACATTTCATTTTATATGGCTAATTTCACCCCAAAACCCCAAACATAGGGTCCTTCTCGTGGGAAGACAAAGATGGCCCAGTCACCAGACCTCTCTCTTCTCCACAGGCCTCTCCGCCCCGCCTCCCATCTCATGGCAGGCCACAGCACCCTTAAGGGCATATGGGGTCTGACTCTTATAAACAGCAGGTGGACCAAATGTTCCAGGACTGGCCCTGGGCAGGAAGCCAGTCCAGATGGAGACTGACCTGAGACACCTGAGGGCACCTGGTGGCCCTCTTCCTTATGGAGGCTCAGCTGGTTCACCCCTAGTCGAGGACTGCCTTTGGAGCCTCTGCTTCTCCCAGCATCCCACTGTTCACATTCTGCTTCTGCCTCTCTCACTGGTCCACATGTCACCAAAGCACAGCTCTAAGAGCTGGAAGTGCCTGCAGCATGTGGATAATCAGTGCCAAATTTTTCCTTGTCCTTTTTTAAAAAAAAAATATTTTATTTATTTATTTGAGGGGCAGGGGCGGGGGGAGAAGTGCAGGGAAGTGGTAGTGGGAAAGGGAGAAGACGCTGCCTGGCTGACCAGGGAGTGAGACAATGGGCTCTATCCCAGGACCCTGAGACCATGACTTGAGCCAAAGGCAGATGCTTAGCACACTGAACCACCCAGGCGCCTCTTTTTTCTTATAAAGTACGTTTTTAGACTTTTGATTTTGAAATGATTTTAGATTTACAGCCAAGTCACAATACAGTGCAGAAAGTTCCTGATTACCCTTCCTCCTGCTTCCTCTCCTGTTAACATCTTACACAAAGATGACACAGTAATCAACACAAGAAGTCCTTATCCATACACTATGAACCAAGCATCAGGGCTTACTGGGATTTCACCAGTTTCCCACCAATGTCCATTTCCTGTTTCAGGATCCACCTAGGGCTGCATCTTACAGATGGCCTAGAGAGCAGACCCGGCTCCCCCAAGGGAGGGCACGGGCTGAGTCAAACCTTCCCCCCCCTGCACCTTGGGCTACTGCCCTCCTCACCCTCCTGCTTTGCAAGGGGACTGCGCCTGTTGCCGGTGGAGGCCTCTAGAGTTGACGACGCCCTTGCCCCACCCTGTCTGCCCATTCCCGGCCCTGTTTCCAAGGCTGCCTACACGGCCTTCCTGCGCATGCGCTCACACGCGTGTGCGTCCACGTTCTCGGAAATGGCTGCCTCCGGGTTTGCTCCCGTGGGCGCTGGGAGTACTGTACAAGGCGATCTACCAGTCCGGCAGCTCTTGTCCATCAGGCCACGCAGCCAACCCCCTCCCCCAAACCAAGCCGGTGCTCCACCCTCTCTGGGAAGGGAGGATGCGGAGCGAACTCTCACGGATAACTTTCTTTGTTTCTGGTTCTGGAGGCTTCTCCTTCAGCCCCCTTTCCACCCTAGGCTTCCCCTATGGGTCTTAGGACCTCTGCTGCCTCCGTCTGATGTGTGCTGTCTTCCAACCAATGCCTTGAGAAAGTCTACTTTGTCCTGTTTCCTTCAGCACTCCCAGAAGGGCTGGGTAACCGCCTGGAGGGCCCTGTGCCTGGGCAGCCCTTTCAGCTTACAGGGGGCTTTCCTGTTGCCTCCTGTGCTCCTCACCACAGGGGTGATTAGGTCCACTTAACAGGGGAGGAGTGCTTTTCCCAGTGATATGGGGGAGTGAAGCAGGGTTTTGCTGCAGTCTGCTCTTCCAGGCAGTGTGGTGTTTATCTTAGGCTGCCTCTGAGGCTCTCAGAGGTCTGCCAGACATGACCTCATTCTCTCTCAAATCATCCCTGGGAGGCAGAAAGGAGTCTGAGACCAACGCTGTCCCCACTTCACAGATGTGAAAACCGATGTGCAGACACTCACACACAACAAGTGTGTTGACAAGTTGCTCTGCAGTCCCTGGGGCCAAACTCAGCCCCATGAGTTCCAGCGTTTGGGAGGAGAGGGGTCTTGGATAGTAGGGCTGTGGTCAGCAGTATTCACCAAGTGGCTCAAAAGCTTGTGGGCCCAGCAGGGATGCCCTACCACCTACCACAGGGCCCTGCCCCCAGGGAACTTGCTGTCAATTCCCTATGTAAGAGGGGCCTGAGGAGGCCAGTCTGGTGTGGCTGGAATTCCTGAGGGTATAGTTGGGTGGCGGTCCTGTAGTCGTATTTCATGACAGTGGGCCTTTGTGTGGCAGCAACAAGTGCTGTGGCCGGGAGGGCTCCCCCTGAGGGCCAGGCTGCCTGGTCACCATGACCTGCACTGGACAGTCTACAGAGCTCCTCCTATGATGTCTCACCTCCCCCAACAACCCTGTGGAAGAAAGGCTATTATGAGCCTAGTCTACAGATGAGGAAACTGAGGCCCACAACTCATCCAGAGGCTCAGAGCCAACCAGTAAGCTGTGGCCGGGCATCTGGTTCCAAGTCCAATGCTTTGTCTACACCTTCCCAAAAGGAAGGTGCACCAAGCTGGCAGGAGGGAAAGGGGAGACCCAACCGAGGATGAGGAGCCCAGACTTGGCTGGCTTCACAGTTTCACTCCAGCTGGCCCTGCATTCCTGTCCTGACAGTAGGTTAAAGGAAGCTCTGAGGAGGAAAGGTCAGTCTGGGAGAGAAGTCGGAACTCGCCAAAACAACCCACACCCTGCTCTCAAAGTGCCAGGCCACCAGGTCATGCGAGCTGGGTGTGTGTGTGTGTGGTGGCGGGGGGGGGGGGGGGTCGGTAAAGATGAAGGAGCAGGACCTGGTCCCTGCCCTCCCAGGGCTCTCAGTCTGCAGTGGAGAACGCCCTAAAACTGCGTGGGAAATGCAGTGGACAAGGGGCCAGGGTACCGATGAAGGCTGGGCTGGCTGATTCCAGGCCCAAATCCCCTCCTCCCATGGCCAGCCACACCTTGACCATCCCAGCCCTGCTCTCTCTCTCCTCTGAGCACCTGTCACACCTCTTGCCCAAGCCATTCATTTAGCACTTGGCTTATAACCCTCAGTTGACTTTTTATTATATATTTATGTCCACCTCCCCAAGGTCAGACTCTCTTCAAAGGCAGGAGCTAATGTTCCCCCTGCCATGGTGACATGCAGTACATTTTTAGTGAAGAAAGGTTATTTGGGAAGTGATCGATTTGGGCCATGCCATGGTAGGTGTATGACCAAAGTTGAACAGTAGGTCCCAGCCACAGCCCCAGGCCTCCGTGATGTCATCTGGGTTGTTGTGACGTCATCGTCGCTGGCCACAGTGGGGCTCCGCAGCCTGGAGGCAGGATGACGTCATCGTCGGAACCCACGCGGACAAGTGCTTTCCGGAAGAATTAAGCGAGGCTGGTGGCTAGCAGCGTCCAGAGAGAGAGGCGGGGGTGGAGGAGTAACTGATTAAAAAGCAGAAGCGGCTTAGCGGCGCCCACCGCCCAGGCCCGGCTCCTAACCCACGGACTGGCCCCGCCCCCGCATTGACCGACGCGAGCCAGCCAATCCGGGGAGGCCGCGGTGACGCGTAGCCTATCAGCGGACAGGGCTCGCCGGGCGCTTCCGCATTCTCGAGCACGTCTGGCCAGAGTCGGCAGGGGGAGGGGGCGAGGGCCGCGGACTGCTGTCGCACCCGTGTCCCACCCTGCCCTGCGTGGCCGGTTTGCGGGGGGGGGCCCGTCTGCCGTCTCCCAGGGGACCCGATGGCCTCGGAGGGCCTGGCGGGGGCGCTGGCGGCGGTGTTGGGGGGCCAGGGGCTGAGTGTGCACAGCTGCGACTCGGAACCGACCGGGGAGCCCCTGGCGCCTGTGCGGCTGCGGAAGGACGTCTGCTACGTGGTGCTGGCCGTGTTCCTCAACGAGCAGGTGAGCGTCCGCCCGCCGGGCCCGGCGCCCGGCCCGCCGCAGCGCGCAGCCAGCCCCGATGGGGTCAGAGGAACTGCCGGCAACAGCCACCACTTAGTGCGTGGTGCTTCCCAGTATTGCAAAGCACTCTCACTCACACTTAACATCTGAGCCTCGAGCGGCCCAGCCCTGAGGTTGTCCCTCTATCCTGAAGAGGCATCTGAGGCCCAGGAGCCTGTTCATTTCCTCCCACTAGGCCTCAATATCTTGAGAGGAGGCCTTATTCCTCTTTCCCTGGAATCTAAGACAGTGCCTGCCGCTAGTGGGCCCAAAGATCTGCCCCGTGCCTCGGAGACCTCCTCTGAGTCCCAGGGACAGTAATAGCATGACCTGTGCTTCTGTCAGACCTTCTGTCCCACTGTGTGGTGCTCTTTTGGAGCTCATCCTTGTGCAAGTTGCTGCAACGACAGCTAGAAGGGGCCAGGGCCTTGGGTAGGAGCTGTGTGGGGGTGGGGGGTGTTTCAAAGCCCAGGCCCCAGTGTGAGGCCCTGCCACAAGCAGTTTATAAATCACCAGGGGAGATGAGAGATATACATAGAGACATATGGCATCTAGACATGAATCAGTGCAGGACACATGGCAAACCTCACCATGGGGCCTAATCCCTAGCCCCTGAAACAGCTCCTGGGAATCTTAGCCCCTCTCTGAAATGGAAGTCTAAATGCAAGGAGGGATACATCGCAGAGCGAGACAGCCGCGACCCCCAGGCACACAAGGGCCAACTCCCTGGAGAGCTCCACCGTTTGAGGTGTGCACCAGTAAGGGGGTTTGTCCTGACTGTTTTTGAGATGGGCTCTAACGCCAGGGCTAGGGAAGGTTCCCAGCAAGGATCCTCTCTCTCCCCTTAGGATGAGGTGCTACTGATCCAGGAGGCCAAGAAAGAGTGCCGTGGGTCTTGGTACCTACCTGCAGGGAGAATGGAGCCTGGGGAGACCATCGTGGAGGCACTGCAGCGGGAGGTGAAGGAGGAGGCCGGGCTGCACTGTGAACCTCTGACATTGCTATCTGTGGAGGAGCGGGGCCCCTCCTGGATCCGCTTTGTGTTCCTTGCTCGAGCCACGGGTATGGCCTGCCTATTTGGCAGTGTTTGGCCCGGTGGTGGGGGGAGGTGGTGAAGTTTATGGCAGTGTTTGGGGGGGGGGGGGGGGAAGTTTTGGGCGGTGTTGGGCGGGGGGGGGGGGTGACAGCTGACACCTTTCCCCCAGCTTGTCCTCTAGTGAGATGAGCCCCTAGTGTGTCTGGTACAAGCCTGGCATCTCCAGCCTGAGGATGTGACTCCCAGCCCCTACCAACGCCTACCAGCCTCTACCCTGGGGTGGGTCAGGGTTCGAATGCCTGGGTGGCTATTTAATCTGCCAGACCGGGCACTTCTCTCAACAGAGACCCTTTCCCCCACCCCATCCTCAACATCTCCTCCAGGTGGAATTCTGAAGACTTCCAAGGAGGCGGATGCAGAGTCCCTGCAGGCTGGCTGGTACCCACGAACCTCCCTACCCACTCCGCTGCGAGCCCAGGACATTCTGCACCTGGTAGAGCTGGCTGCCCAGTACCGGCAGCAAGCCAGGCACCCTCTTCTTCTGCCCCAGGAGCTTCCCTGCAGTCTGGTCTGCCAGCGGCTCGTGGCCACCTTTACAAGTGTCCAGACAGTGTGGGTGTTGGTGGGCACAGGGGGGATGCCTCACTTGCCCATCACTGCCTGCGGCTTCACTCCCATGGAGCAAAGGGGTGGCATCAAAATGGCCATCCTGCGGCTGCTACAAGAGTGTCTCACCCTGCACCACTTGGCGGTGGAGACCAAGGGGTTGCTTGGACTGCAGCACCTGGGCAAAGACAATGCAGATGGCATCTGCTTGAATGTGCTGGTGACTGTGGCTTTTCGGAACCCAGGGATGCAGAGTGAGCCCCCAAAGGTTCGGGGTGAGAACTTTTTCTGGTGGAAGGTGATGGAGGAAGACCTACAAAGCCAGCTCTTACAGAGGCTTCAGGAATCATCTGTTGTCCCAGTCAACAGATAGGAAGGTGCCTTCGTTGTGCAAGGAGCTGGGCACCTGTGCCCCCCACTCCACCGCAGCCCTGCCTTCCTTTGGGGAGGCAGGAGGTTGGCAGTCAGGGGTCTTGTTGCACTGGGAGCAGGTGATTCTCCTAGTTCTCAGGGTAATTTCCTTCTCTGTGGAATAGGTCCCTACAGTGCACCGAAAGGACAGTGCCTTTAACCAAACAAGAAGGTCAGAGCTCAAGGACCTAATTGCCCTGTGGGCAAAATGAGGGCACTACTCCCTAAGGGGATGTGGGAACTTTCTGAACCTGAGAGGGCATCTACTTGTCATTTTCCATGCTTGCCTCAGTAAAGGCCTACACCTGGATTCTCATGCACTTAGAACACAGACTTGGGGTGCTGGGGGAGGTTGTTCCAAGGGAGTGGGCTCCATGCTGAGTAAATAGGTGGTTCTTGCTTTGCCTTCCTGTCTAAATATCTCTGTGGGGAGGAAGTGAGCAGGAAGGGGGGGGACTGCATCAAAAAATAAGCTCCTCCCCTTGTCCCAGCACAGTCACCCACGTCTTCCCAGACAGCAAGCGGGTGTCCCAGACTGCAGGTGACTGGGGCGGGCAGGCTTCCTGCCATCCACCATAGCCTCTGTGGCCCACTGGGGCTCTTTCTCTGGCCTGCTGGGGTGGGATGTGTCCACCTCCCCTCCAGGGTTTGAACTGTGAGAACACCAGAAGCTTCAGGTGGGCAAGGGGTCATATAGGAAGAGTCTTGCCTCTTGGCGGAGTTCCATCTCCTTGAGCTTCCTTGTTCCCTCCCTGCATCACTCTGCTGACCTCCAGGCTCCTGCCTTTCTACAGCTCCAACCCCAGCCCGACCATAACCCTTTATTCATTTCTGCTCAGCCCAGTAGAATCATGATAAAAACTCTTTTTTAAAGAGAACTTTACTAAAACTTAAGGGAAAACCACAGGGAGTGAACAAAGAAAATATACTGTGTGCTACTCACTGCGTGTAATACAGATTTCTGATTCTGAGCAAGGGAACACTTGTCTAGGCTTCCCTTCTGAGGTAACTCCATTCTGACACTGATCGACCAGGATAAGGCTCCTTTCCCTTCTTGTGCCCTCTGAGGACAAACATCTCCTACATGATGGAATCAAATACTTTCTCTTTCGTTCCCTTCTCTTAGCATCTGAGGGACCCACCAGTCCATAACCCTGTCGAAGGGCAACCTTTGTTCTCACTTTATTTAACCTACAGTGGTTTTCAACCTTGCCATTAGAATCGCCTGGAGAACTTTAAAAACAACTCTGGGCCCTCCCCTGAGCCACCGATTCCACAGGTATTGTGAAAAGCAAACCAAGTGATTCTGATTCGCACAGAGGTAAGAGGCGCTCATCAGCCCTGTCCGAGTTTTCAACTTGCTGTGTCCTGGAGTTGTCTCAGCTACCTTCCCGAGGGCTTTTTAAAACAGGAGGTCCACTAAAGCATTCACACAACTCACAATGTAAACACCCCAAAATGAGACTTGCGTACAGATGCTCCAGATGGCCCCTTCTTCCCCCGTGTCTCCAGGGCTAGCTGGCTCTCAGCTGTAGGTAAGCTGGGCAGAAAGTGTTGCTTGGCCAAGAAAGGGCCTGGTTCCTGGCAGGCGCTGGGGAACATCGGATGTGCTCTGCCAGAGCCTGTCTCTATTTACCACCCCCGTCGCTACCCCCAACCCCCGACACCCAGCACACCACCTCCCTCCGCTCCAGTGCTGGAAAAGCAGTTGGTCTTTCTTGCGGTGGCAGATGGGCCTGAATGAGCAGTGGAGTCCCACGCAGGAGGACACGAAGGGTGGAGAACAGGGCTGTGTCTATGCAAACCTTTTATTGCTGTGTCGTCTGGGGGCACGTCTCAGGGGGACACAAGGGCAAATGCTGAAGGGGAGGGAGGAGGGGAGTATCCGGGACCGGATGCTCAGCCGTTTTCGGACTTGAGGAGTTCAGACCCAGTGTGCCCTGTGAGCTGTGCTCTCCCGTCCCATGCCAACACCCACGTGTGCAAACACACATGCACACACACGCACGGTGTCCTTCAGAGCCACGGCCGCGTCCTCCCCAGCTTGGAGGAATGCAGGAGAGGGAGAGGTCACCGAGTTCCTCCTCTTCCATGTCACCTCCTGGCAACCTGCGGCTGGCTTCTAGAAGCGGCACAGGCAGGAAAAGGAAGCGAAAGGGGCTCTGGCCTGCTCCTCCTTGCCCAGGAGCGAAGCCAGCAGCTGCAGTCCCGCTGTGAGGTAATGCCTGGCGCCGCCTGTGTGTTCCTGCAGGTTGAAACAGATTCAGGCCGGGTGGGGTGGCAGACCCAGCCATGAAGGGCACACAAGGAGAACAACACTACGACTGGCTGCCGGGCCCCAGCGCCTCCCCTCCAGGCCTTGGGGGCCTGGAGTCAGGTGGGCATCCTGGCCGCAGTCTGTCCCAAGCTCCCCAGCTTCCTGGGGAGAGGAGTCCATCGAGGACGCTGCAGGCTGGGTGGAGGGCTGAGGGCCGGGCCTGGCCTCCCCCAGTCTCCAAGCCCCTCTGCCCAGGTGTTGAAGACCTGCCGAGACGGGTTCAGAGGCGCCAGGGAGAAAACCAGCTGGAGCTGGAGCCTGGCACCCAGCCCCCCGCCCCCCCTTCCCAAGCCCTCTGCCGCCCTGGCTGCAGTCGCACCAAGGCGCTCATTAGCAGCTGCCCCCGCCCGGGCGCGGAGCACGCTCTGGCTCTCGGCCATGAGGCAGTTGGGAATTTTGCAACAGTCTCCAGGAGGGCTGGGCAGGGAGAGTGGGCTTCCCCTGCCATCCACTGCCCCTTTGCCACGGATTAAGCCAAGAAGGCAGGAGAAAAAATGTCAAGTTTCAGTAGTGTCTGTGGTACCCGGCGTGACAGAGACAGGGCTCCTTTGCCCCCATCTCTCTTGGCTTACAGTCGTAACCAGCCTCAGAGCCATCACTCATTCCTCTCTGTGCCCTGGAACTGAGCCACAGGACTTGGCCCTGGCCATGAATGGCCCGTAGACTTAGGGGTCAGGCACAGAACACGTGAGGGTTTGGGTCTGGGTGCTCACCTCGCAATTACCCAGCTCCCCTGAGAGGGCCCCGAGGACACCATGCTGTCTGGGAGGCCATCTCTTTTGCTCCTTGGCTTCTGGTACCTTGGAGACCCACTCCCTAAACCCAGTCTCGTGTGGCTGACAGGCCAGGATCTTCTGAGACCACCTGGGAGCGGAAGCCCAGGCCTCCCCAGAGGCAGAGGTGCCTGGGATGCAGAGAACATGGAGCCAAGTCCCAGCCTGGGAGGCAGGCAGTGGCGGCGGTGCCAGGTGGGAGGCGGCTCTTGGGCCGAGGTGTGCACAGAAGTCTCCCTTCCTGTCCTGCTCCTGGCTCAGACGTGCCCTTCTTGGGGAGGGGAGAGGTGCAGGTGAGGACCATGTGGGGGGAACTTGACAAAAGCGATGGCAGCCAGCTCCTTGCAGAATTCCTCAAGAACCACCACGCCCTGGAGGAGAGTCTGGTGGTCCAGCCTGAGGGAGACAGCACGGCGGTAGTGGGGTCACAGCTGGGAGGCGGTGGGAGTGTACCCAATATGACATCCCAGTGTCCATGAGGCACATTCTTAGCGGCAGACACCCTGAGTGAAGACGGAGCCCAGCAACAGGCCCTCTTTGCACCGCTGGCCCATGCTCCTCTCACTCTTCTTGGGCAGTCTGCCTTCCCATCCTAGGATCCCTCCTCAGGCACCCATCTCCCTCAGTTACTTACTGCTCCCCAGGGACCTGACCCATCAGCTGCTTGCGCACCAGGAGCAGTTTGCCCGAGAACTGGGGTACCCTCTGAATTCTCTGCATCAAGTCCCCGATCACCTAGAGTGGGAATGAGACAAGGCTGGGGTAGGGGCTGGTGACACTCATGCAGGGTCCCCTAGCTCTGCCGCAGCACAGTGGAGGTGGGGGGGTGTGTGCCTGTGCATTCCCCTGGAGCTGTCCGGAGTACCCACTCCTGCGGCTTCCACCCCGCCCCATCCGGATCCCCTCCCTTCCTGCAGCTCCACCGACACACACCTCTGGGCTCAGGCATCCTTACCCTGACGAGCACAGAGAACAGACTCCTGCAGCCAGGGGCCAGGTTGATGTAGGGATCCAGGAGGTACTCGTGGATAAGGGGGTGGGGGAAGAGGGCAAGCCGGGACAGGACTGAGGTCACTTGCAGGTTCAGGCTGTATGGCTGTAGGGAACACAGTGGACAAGCCGAGGGTTGGCAGGGGGCCACGAGCATTTTTGCACTCCCCCAGCAAGGCGCCTGGCCAGTGTGAACGTGTGCGGGGGTGGGAGTCTCACGTGATATGTGTGTGTGTCATGGATTCCCTGGGGCTGAGGGCCAGAACATGTTAAGGCATGTGGAGCAGAGGCAAGATGGGGCTTCCCGCCTGGAGAAGGGGGAGGGGTGGGGGAAGGGGATATGGAGCTGAAGAACCAAAGAGGAATCTAATACCCACCCCCACCCCCCACCAGGGCACCTGCCTGGAGTTCTCCCAAGGGCCCTCACCCTGTAGCCGGGGCCCCAGTTCCACTGGCTACCTGTTCCAAAATCCGGGACATGCGGTCAAACAGCATTCGGAGGAAGTGACCCTCAAAGAAAGGCCGTTCAGGCTCATGAGGGTCCAGGGGTGTGGGGCCCAGGGGCCAGCCCCAAGGGGCAACTCGGGAGCTGCACTCCTGGAACTGAAACAGGAGTGAGAGTTGAGGAGGTGGGCCCAGTGGTCAGGAGGCTCCCGAAGACTGAGGGAACCACGGAGGAAGGATGGACTCGAGGCTCTTGGCCGGAGCAGGGAGCACCTTGGGCAGATCACAGAGGGAGAAGGAGGAGTTTATCAACACCCCAGCTTTGAGGGACAAGAAGTGGGCGTTGGTAGAGGCCTCAACACTCACCAGTCCATAAGCATCGTGGACGTATGTGTCATATCCGGTCTCTTCTAAGAAAGCTGAGGTCTTGGCTTCCTCAGGAACCAGGCAGAGGAAACTGAGACACAAGACCCTAGGTGAGGAGGGGCACTGGCTCGGCCGCCCTGCTCCTCCCCACTCCACCTCCAGCTCTGAGGGAGCACTGCCTCCTGGGCTGCGCCTCGTCCCGGCTATGGCCAAAGACAGAACAAACCTCAAGTGGCTGAGATTTCCGGACGACTCCCTACCTGTTGACGATCTCAGTCACTGCTGTTTTGCCATCCGAGTTGGTGGCAGGGGCTGGGGGAGGCTTTGTGGAGGGCTGAAAGCTGGAGTTGAGGAAGCCGTCTGTGAAGTAGGGGTCTTCCTCCAGATCTCTGTGGCACCAACAAATGAATGAACAAGTGCAGGGGTGTGGGGGGCCGTGAGGGTCCCACTGGCCTGAGGCCTCCCAGAGGCACACGGTTCCACTTACAGGGTGTCCTCGTAGCTCTCGGGCTCAGGTGAGCCCCGGGCCACATAATGGCGGCCCTCCAGGTTGCACAGGACCAGGCCATGGATGACCTGCTCGTGCGGCTTCTGCAGCAGCTCCTCAAATAACCGTAGGGTGGTGATGCTGATCTGGGTAAGAAAGGATCAGCAGGACCCCGGTTCTAGTGGTCCTGGGAATTGCTCACTCGGATAGATAAGAAAAGAGCAGGTGGCAGGTTTTGGGGGGAGTGGGGGGCAGTCCTTTGGGGGGAGTGCTGGTCTGGGAGCCGGAAGTCTGCCCGGTTCCGGTTCTATTACTAATTGATGTGTGTTATCAAGTGAGCCAACTAGCTTTTCTGTCTGTTTCCGTGGCTGAAAAACGGAACAGTGGCCTCACCTCGCTCGGAGTAGCTATAAGCCTCAAACAAGCCAAGTGAATATGAAATAGGTTTGGAAAACAGAAAATCACATGGCAAGCATCTGGTCACAGAAAATCACTGTGTGACAAAAGCAGCCACTGTTTTTTGGGGGTATGCATTTCAGTGCCTCAAAGGCAGTACCACCTGGTAAGGTGATGCAAGAGGGCTGAAACACTCAGGGGACCCCTTGGGCAGGGGTTGGTTGGTGGGTGCCAGAAGGACGACACCCCCCTCCCCCGCCTCACCTCGTCCGAGAGGTGGTCGCAGTGCCCGATGAGGTGAGCACACAGAGTGCGGGGGCCGTCGTCAGGGGCTGCAGGCTGTGGGTCTGTGCCCAGGAGGAAAGCCACAGCCTCTCGCAGCAGCACAGGGGAGCGGAGCTGACGCAGCATGGCCGTGAGCAAGGCGGTGGAGGTCAGGACACTCTGCTCAGAGCTACAGGGAGAGAGCGCTGAGCCAGGCCTGGGGGCTGAGAGCCAGGTTGGGGAGAGCCAGGAGTAAATGAATGTGGGGGTGACAGAACCCTTTCCTGGTTTCCTTCTGCCTTGGCTGGTATTTCTCTGTTTGCTCCCTAGCTCTCCTGAGGTCCTGGAGTCAGCCCACGTGGCTCTGAGCCACCTGTGTGTCAGGAGGCCAAGCCCGGCAAACATTAACCATGGACCTGCAGACCCACGTTACTCTGGCCAAGGAGTTCCTGGCCTTAGGGATGAGTAGGGGCCCGGTGGGGCGAGCAAATGGGTCCAGACCATGGCCAGCCCCAGGGAATGGGACACAGACTTACACATGCAGGAGGTGGGGTTGCAGAATCTCCACGAAAAACTTCTCAGCCACAGCCTTTGCCAAGGCCTCGGCAACCACCTAGGTGCCAAGGACATGTCTTAAGCACGTTTTACCTCCGTGACAGTTTTCCACTGAGAAACTACTGTGTCCTTGCACAGTGTCTAACACAATAGGCAGGCCAAGGGCCCTGCCTAGCTCCTGTGAGGCCCACTGGGTCCTCAAGGTGGACACAGGGAAGGGAGTGGGGTCAACCGCAGAGCACCCCCACAGAGGGTCCCACTGGGGCCCACCCCTGCTCACCGTATGTGCCTCTGTGATGAGGTGGTCACAGTAATCAAACCAGCCCAAAAAGGCAGCCAAGGCCTCCTTGCCAGGGAAGGAAGCTTCATCAGATGGGGCACTGGGCAACCTGAGGGAAAGCAAGGGAGGGGCTGTGAGGCATGCCTCAGGGATGTTCCAGAATCTGGGCCCCTTCTCCCTGCAACCTCTGTGGCCAGTGCTGGGCGGAAGAAGGAGGGGGGAAGCAAAAGTGATGTTCCCTTGGAGGGAAAGCCCGTGAGGATGGGCTGTACCCTCCGGAAGAGGGTGGCCAGCTGCGGTCCCCAACCCTCCTAGAAAACCAGAGGACAGGGAGGGCTTCTAGCCACTTAAAAAATAGCCCAACCCAGCTTTCCCCCACCCCCAAGCACCTACCTCCAGCTGATGCCCTCTAGTGCAGCAATGTCCGCTGGGTCCAGGAAAGGGGGCAGGGACTGGTATAGCTGGCAGAGGTGCTCGGCGACAACACGGCAACAAGGGCTGCTCTGCACCAGGTAGGTGGCAGCGGCAGGCCAAGCCACACTTACCAGGAGCAGCAGGTTCTCCTGCGCCTTCAGAGCCACCCGACCTTTCTAGGGGACAGGGTCATGACTTCAGGACATACATCTGAACCCCTGGATCCCCTCCCAGCGGTTCGCCCTCCTCGTCCCTGCCCACTCTGTCTTGGCAGCTGGCACCTTGCTCTTGCACAGCCCGATCAGGGCGGTGATGAGGTTGCTTTCTCCAACCGCTCCTTCTGGCTCCTCTGTCTCAGCAGGCAGCTGTGAGCTCAAGGCCCGGGCCCTGCACAGACTCATGTCAGGAGCCTTGCTGCAGGAGTGGTCCTTGTCCTGCACACTGGCGGCCTCTCTAGGCAGGATGGTGGGCTCTTTGGATGACTTCTTCCTACTGACCATCTTTTTGCCCTGCAAAGAAGGTTGGGTGAAGCCATGTTACGGTGCAGACCATTGCCCGGGATGCTCCACTGGGAAGGCGGGATGTGCTGGCTGTCAGGGCCTCAGCATGGAGCAGGAGGGGAAGCTGCCTGGGCGCCTGAGGACCTGCTCCGCCCTCTGCTTCCTCAGAAGGGCCTCAGAGGCCTGCCCTGCAGTCTGGGCCCTCCCACCCCTGTGTGCTCACTTCCAGGATGTAGGTGAGCAGGGCTGGGTCCTGTTGGATCTTGGAGCAGAGCACGGTGGTGAACTGTACCTCCTCCTTTTCTGTTTGGGATCCAGGAACTGTCCCACCAAGTCGGAGAAGCTTCTAGAAGGGAAGAAAATTAAAAACAGAGAAGAATGGGGGTAGCGAGGAAAAGAGAAGCCTTGACCCTCAGACCCTCCCTGGTCTCCTGGTCTCTCACCTGCACAGGCTTGTGGACGTTGAGGTAATGCAGGAGCGGGTGCTGCACCTGGGCCAGAACCTTGCTGAAGAACAGGAACACCTGCTGTCGCATCCCTGGGGGGTACTGAGGGTCAAGGTGCCCGTCAGAAGGTGGAGCCCACCCACTGCAGGCAATGCTCCTCCCACCCCGCACCGGGCCACAGCACCAGCCTCCCACGATCAGTGCTCAGAGGGCACCTTTTCTGGAAGCCTCCTTCCCTCACTACAGGCACACCTCGAACACTTCTCTTCCAGACCACCGCAATAAAGCAAATATTACAATCAATGGATACTGCAATAAAGCAAGTCAAATAAATTTTTTGGCTTCCCAGTAAATATAAAAACTACATTTATGCTATACTGTGGTGTATTAATTATGCAATTGCATTATATCTAAAAGGCAACGTACATAACCTTAATTTAAAAATACTGCTACAGGGCACCTGAGTGGCTCAGTGGGTTAAAGCCTCTGCCTTCAGCTCGGGTCGTGATCCCAGGGTTCTGGGATGGAGACCCACATCGGGCTCTCTGCTTGGCAGGGAGTCTGCTTCTCCCTCTCTCTCTGCCTGCCTGTCTACTTGTGATCTCTATCAAATAAATAAATAAAATCTTAAAAAAAAATATTGCTACAAACTGCTAACCATCATCTGAGCCTTCAGCGAGTCGTAGCCTTTTTGCTGGTGGGGGCTCTCGCCTCCATGCTGGTGGCGCTGACTGATCAGGGTGGTCGTTGCTGAAGGTGGGAATGGCTGTGGCAATTTCTTAAAATAAGACAACAGTGAAGTTGGCCGCAGGGATGGACTCTTGCTTTCAGGAATGACTTCTCTGTAGCACCCCAAACTGTTTGATGCATTTTACTCCCAGTAGAACTTCTTTCAAACCTAGAGCCGGTGCTCTCCAGCCTGCGGCCGCGGCTCTCTCGACTCTGTTCACACGACGCTCTCAACAGTCTTCCCCGCGTCCTCCCCAGGAGCAGATTCCATCTCAGGAAACCGCGTTCCCTGCTCACCCACAGCAGCAGCTCCTCATCTGTTATGTGATCATGAGAGGGGGGTCATTCGTTCCCATCCTCGGGCTCCACTTCCGGTTCCCGTTCTCTCGCCCTTTCCCCCACGTGTCTTCCCTGAAGTCGTGAACCCGCCACAGTCACCCGTGAAGGTTGCGATCAAGTTCTTCCAAATTCCGGTTCATGCTGATATTTTGACCTCTTCCCGGGAATCACGAATGTTCTTGATGGCACCTGGAACGGTGAATCCTTGCCAAGAGGCTTTCAGTTTACTTTGCCCAAATCCATCGGCAGAGTCACTACCCGTGGCAGCCACAGCCTTACACAAGGTATTTCTTAAATAGTAAGACTTGAGAGTCCAGTGATCCTCCATCCACGGGCTGCAGAATAGAGGCTGTGTTGGCAGAAAACGATCATCTCGTTCTACAGCTCCCTCAGAGCTCGTGCCCAACCATGTGCCTTGTCAGGGAGCAGTCGTGTTGGGAAAAGGAGACTTTTTTCTGAGCGGTAGGTCTCAACAGTGGACTTAAAATATTCCAGAAACCATGTTGTAATCTAAAGAGCTTTCACTCAGGCTTCGTTGTCCCGTTTACAGAGCACGGGCAGAGTGGACTTAGCGCGATTCCTCACGACTCTGGATTTCCAGAATGGTCAATGGGCACTGGCTTTGACTTCAAGTCACCAGCGGCGTGAGCCCCGAACGAGAGAGTCAGCCTGTCCTTTGAAACTTCGAAGCCGGGCGTTGACTTCCCCCCTCCAGCTGTGAGAGTCCTAGCTGGCGTCTCCCTCCAAGAGAGGCCGTTTTATCCGCACTGGAAATCCATCGCTTAGTGCAGCCTCCTTCATCACCTAACCCCGCTGGATCTCCCAGAGAACTTGGGGCAGCGTCTACACCAGCACTGGCTGCTCACCTTGCACTCTGACGTCACAGAGACAGCTTCCTCCCTTACACCTCACGGACCCACCTCCACCACCTTCCGCCTTTTCTCCTGCAGCTTCCCCACCGCTCTCAGCCTTCGAAGAATTGGAGAGTCGGGGCCTTGCTTAGGATCAGGCTTTGGCTTAACAGAATGTCGAGGCTGGTGTGCTCGTCTATGCAGACCACTCAGACTTTCTCCACCTCAGCCATAAGGCTGTTTTGCTTTCTTACTGTTCATGTGTCCACTGGAAGGCACTTTGAATTTCCTTCAACAACTTTTCCTTTGCATTCTCAAACTGGCCGCTCGTTGTGTGGCCCAGCTTTTGGCCTATCTTAGCTTTTGACATGACTTTCTCACTAAGCTAAATCATTTCTAGCTTTTGATTTATTTATTTTATTTTATTTTATTTTTAAAGATTTTATTTATTTGACAGACAGATCACAAGTAGGCAGAGAGAGAGAGGGGAGGAAGCAGGCTCCCCACTGAGCAGAGAGCCCGATGCGGGGCTCGATCCCACGACCCTGAGATCATGACCTGAGCTGAAGGCAGAGCCCTTAACCCACTGAGCCACCCAGGCGCCCCTATTTATTTATTTTAAAAGATTTTATTTATTTGACAGATAGAGATCACAAGTATGCAGAGAGGCAGGTAGAGAGAGAGGGGGAAGCAGGCTCCCTGCTGAGCAGAGAGCCTGATATGGGGCTTGATCCCAGGACCCTGAGATCATGACCTGAGCCAAAGGCAGAGGCTTAACCCACTGAGCCACCCAGGCGCCCCTAGCTTTTGATTTAAACTGACAGACGTGTGATTCTTCCTTTCACTTGAACACTTAGAGGCCACTGTAGGGTTATTAGTTGGCGAGATTTCAATATCGCAGTGTCTCAGGGAATAGGGAGGCCCAAGGAGAGGGAGAAAAAGGGGGAATGGCTGGTCAGTAGAGCTGTCTTAGAGAGGCATTATTTGTGGTGCTCCCAATTACAATAGCAACATCAAAAATCACTGATCACATATCACTGTAAGAATATAATAACTAAGTTTGAAGTAGTACCAGGAATTACCAACATGTGAAACAGACATGAAGTGAACACACACTATCAGAAAATGGCGCCAACAGACTTGCTCAAGGTAAGGTTGCCCACAAAGTCCAACTTGTAAAAATTGCAGTCCTTGTGAAGCACTGTCATGTGGAGCGCAACTGAGTAAGTTGTGCCCATCTTTGAAACTGGCCTCCCCCACACTGTCAGGTCCCCGTCCTGCTTCATCGCTCTCCATAACCCCGTCATTGTTGAACAGACCACGCGTGGGCTCCCCTGATGACCCACCTCTCGCTGACTAGAATTTCTGTATTTTAACTACTGCTGTGTCCGCAGCACCAAGGACCCTGCCTGGCCCATGGCTTGTTCTCAGCACATCTTCGCTGAATGAACTCTGACTGAACAATGGGAGTGTGTCCACCACACGATGACAGGAACATGGGTGGACGAGCCAGGAACGCAGGGGCTCCCCGGGGTTCTGCCCACCTCAGCCTTGCCCAGTGTGCACAGGGTCTCCAGGATTTTGTGCTGCAGTAGGTACTCCAGACAGGGCCCAGCCTCGCCAGCTGCCGTCTGCTGCCTCTCCTCATACACCAGGATGTCCAGCATCTGCTTCAGCCGCCAGGGGATATCCGTTTTCTTGGCGGGGGTGTTTTCATCTAATAGGGATTCAGGAAACAAGGGTAAGTAGGGTGAAGAGAGGTTCTCTGGCTTGATGAGGTCAAGGCCCTGGGGCCTGTAGGTGGAGAGAGACTGAGGGTACGCCTGGATTAAGGCCCGGTTCACAGTGGGCTTCGAACGAAGACCAGAGAAATGGAAATTTACAGCTGGTGCCTCTATATTTAAAAAGACAAAAGACCTTTTGGCTGAGGCCCAGGATACAGCCCTCTGGCTGGGAATGTGTGCATACTCTAGAGAGGGAGACAGCATCATTTTTTCTGCTAATCCTGGGGCATACGGGAGTGAGGTGTACATTGCTCTGGGCCTGACTGAGAAGCTGTGGGCTTGGGGGTCTCCATCCTAGAATGTGAAGTGGTCTCAGAGCAGCTTTCCGAGAGGCAAAGCAACTTTCCTCCTGTCCTTTTTACACTCACAGGAGGCAGAAAGGAGAAACCTTTTTTTCTTTTTTTTACAGGAGAAGAAAATCCGTGCATGACCACGAGTTCAGAGGCAAACCTGCTCCACTGTGCAAAGGTCTTGATGGAGAAGCAGAGGCTTTCTTGGTGAGAGTCTCAGAGACTATATAAAGCAAGTTTTAGTGCTTTGGGACAAGCCTTGGAGCACCCCCTAGCTTATTTTGAAAGCATTGGCTTTTGAACAACAGCTCACCTCACCCATCCCTGTACCTATGGTCTAGGGAGTGTTCTGGAAATTAACAGAATCAGGTTCCGGTGAAGCCCCAGGGGGGACCTGAGTCAGTTCAGGATCTTTTCCTATATCCTGGTAGACTGGGGCTCTCTGTCAAGAGATCTTCAGTCTAAAAGGTACAGACTTCCAATTAAAAAGTAAGTAAGTCCTGGGCGCCTGGGTGGCTCAGTCAATTGGGTGTCCCAGTCCTGATTTTGGCTCTGGTCATGATCTCAGGGTTGTGAGAGCGAGCTCTGCATCAAGCTCTTGCTGGGCATGGAGCCTGCTTAAGATTCTCTCTCTTTCCCTCTCCCTCACACCCCCCTTGCTAAAAAACAAATAACGAAACAAAAACAAAAACAAAAAATAATAAATAAATAAGTCCTGAGAATGTTACATACACACAGTGATTATAGTTAAAGTATTGCACATTTGAAAACTGCTTAAAGAGTAGATCTTAAAAGTTGTCATCACAAGAAAAAAAATGGGTAACTAGTTAGGGTGATGGATATTAACTAGGCTTACTGTATTGATCACTTCACAATATATCCATATATTGAATCAATAGGTTGTACCCCCAAGTTACATGATATAATGTTACATCAACTATACGTCAAAAAAAAAAAAAGAAAAAAAGCTCTTCAGTTTAAAGCCATCGCTCTCCACCGGGGGTGATTCCGCCCCCAGGACAATTTGGCCATGTTTGGAAAGACAAGGTTATGGCAATGGAGAGCTGCTGCTAACCGTTCCACTGCGCACCCCCAGAAGCCCGCCGCCACAGAGAATGACCAAACACAAACGTCAGCTGTGCCAAGATCGCAGAACCTGGTCTAAAAAGGACACTTAGGGGATCCCTCAGAGTGTCCAAAGACTGCTTTTTAATTTCTCGGGCTGGCTCAGGCTGGAAATCAAGTCTTCAGGAAGGGGGTAGGCTGGAATCAAACCCCAGTGTGAACCAGGATGTAGAAAGCCGGGGATGCAGGACGGGGTTACCTGGCAACCAGCAAGTATCCACGAATACCAACGTACTGACTACAAAGCAGCCAATCGGATTCCGCCCCCTCTGGGAGTGCTCCTGCTGGGCTCAGAGCACCCGAAGCTTTGGCTGTCTGGGGTGTCAGCTGGGGGAGAAGGATCCGGACATGTTACATGTCTTGGCTTTTGTTCTCCTCCTACCCTAGATTTCCATAAGGGAAATCCCCTCTAAGTTAGCTCAGGGAAAGGAGGAGGAATTGATCCCGCTTCTTTTCTTTTCATCAGTAAGCCCTGGGCATGGGCCCTGAGGACCGCAGGCCTGGACACTCTGCCTAGCTGGAAGCCAGGGGCAAGTGGGGCTCACCCTCTGCCTTGCAGTCAGGTCAGTGACATGCCCGACTTCCTAGTCCCCACTTCTATCTCACACAGTTCCTCTCCCAAAAGGTCAGGGAGGGGCTAGCCCCCACTCTCCACTCCTGTGCAGCCCTTGTCACCCTCTCCAGGCCACATGCATCTCTGCCTGGCATGATGACACAGCCCACACCCTCCTCCCCACAGCCTGTGGGGCTCCCCTGGCCAGGGGAGACCGGGTCCCACCTGTACTTTCAATGTAGTAGTGTGTGATGCCCTTCCAGTGCTCCACGAAGGCCTCCAGCAGGTCAATGCTGGGCTCCCGCTGTGAAGAGAGCAGAGACACAGTATAAGGAGCTGCCACTGTGACCACGGGCTCCAGTGCCACTGCCGCTCATCACAATGGATGGTCCACCATCTACCAGGGCTCAGGTCAGTGCCAGGCCCTGGAGGAGGTGCCAGATTCTCAAAGGGGGAAGGAACACGTTTTCTCCAGGACAATCTCCTGGCCCCTCTCCCAGCCCCCTCTCTCCCAGAGAGGCTGTGCTCCTGCTACACATCATGATTCCACAGTCCCTGGCCTGGGAGAGCTAAGAACATCGGTACGGAAGATGGACACAGAAACAGATCATCTCAAGATGGTCATGCTACCAGAGAGGGATGTTGAGGAAAACAGGAGAGCACCCTCAAAACAACAAAATCAAAATGACACACAGGGAAAACATGGCAAAGACAAAGCTTCCCGGACCCTCCCTGTCCAAGAGTCTGCACAAATCTGTGTTCGAGGCCATTGAAAGAATTCGTTCAGCCAGATGGGTAATGTTAGCATAATATTCATGAGATGTCTTACTTCAAACATGCCTGCATCTTTTGTCCAAGGCCGCAGGCTGCCGGAGTTGCTGGGAAGGCACAGCCTGCAGCCCCAAGGAATTCTATTTCTGCTATGAGCAATGCCCCTTTTCCAGAAGTTACCTCTTCATCTCCATACCGGTAACAACTACTTTCCCTGAGAACTCCAGAAAAGAGCATTCGTTCTCTTTCCTTGCAGAGTAAACGTTTACAGGGAAAAAATACGTAATCAAATAGTCCCTCACCACAGGTGCTCATTTCTACCTCTCTGTCTCTGTTCAGGCCACTCCGCAGTCCAGGAGGCCCGGTGTGACCCTACCCTTGCCTAGAGCCAAACAGCCACTCATGAGGTCCAGCTGGTCCAGCTAAGGGCCACTGGCTCCACAAAGGCCTCACCAGAATTCTTAGACGCATCTCTTTCTAACCTCACACTTCACAGCATCACAGAACTGTCTACTCCCATCGGTTCTGGGCCTTTTGGCTAAGATCAAGTGCAGAACTGTCTACTCCTGATTCATTCAGGAAATCTCTTTTGAGTGCCTACTGTGTACAAGACACCGTGCTAGGTGCCGTAAGCAAAACAAGGCCATCGGAGACCCAGTGCCAGGGAGAATAGAATATGACAAACGCCCCAAATAACTCAGCTGTAGGAAGTGGTGTGAGAATGTGGGGCAGGTGGAAAGTAGCCCATGGGAAAAGAGCACTGGAACAGAGAAGGCTTTACTGAGGTTATCCTGAAACTAAAACATGAGGAAAGCAGTCCCAGGCCAATAATCAGAGATGAAGGCAAGACAGTTCCTGTGGAAAGAACTCTACAGAGTGTGTCTGGGACAAGGATGGATTGATGAGTGTGGGGGCCTGAGAACATCGAGCCACTGGGTCAGGATTGGTTCCTGCAGGCGGAGGAGGAAGGGGCGGGGGGAGGGAGTTCAAGGACATTTGCTGAGCTGTGTTTCAGGCAGAGTCCTCGGGCAGTTGCGTGTGGGAGATGAAGGCAGGAAGAATGGTTTAGAAGGCCATGAAGACAGGAGGAAGAAGCAGTAACACCAAATCAGAGGCCCTGAAACTCTCCCCACAACCCTCATCTGCCCAGGGAACCTTATCTTCTTTCATGGGTAGTTGTTGGGGGGCATGACCCTTACTGGAGCTGCATCTCCCACGGTCACTCCAAAAACACTGTCCAAATGGAGCCAACACGTCAAACCACGTCCTGTGTGAGACTATGATTGGGGAATTAGAGTCTTCCCTTCTACTAGACTGTGAGCTCCCTGAGGGCCCAGGTTCTGCGAGTTCTAGCTCTGCCTGCCCCTAAAGGGCTCTGCCACTAGTGACTACATTACATTCCTATTTACTCAATATCTCAGCAAACTCCTTTAAACATTCTTTCCATAGTTCCTTATCTCAGGAAAGCCCTCCGGGTCTTGACTGGCACCAATCATCTTCCAGAGCTATGCTGAGCTCTCATCTAGCCTCAAAATTCATTTACAGTCTCCTGAACCGTTACTCTGGGCTAACACTGAAAATGAACAATCCAGTGAGGACAGGAGACCCGGGAGAACACAGATGGTCAGCAAACAGATTATAATGAAACAGACTGTTAGAACAAAGCAAGGGGATCATCTTCCCCTGAATCTACTATTAATTATTATAGCTCCAAAGCCATTGTACCAAATGATTTATGTTAAAGAGAAATTATTAAATTACTAATTATCTTTGTTAATAATAATAAAGAATACTTTCTAAAAGAACTCTAATGATCACTATTCTGTTTTGTCAGAAGAGGGCAGGAAGGAGCACTCTTCCTCCCTTAACAAGGAGTCAAGGAACCAGCTGGGGTCTTAACCTGGAGATGGAGGCAGGGGAAGACCTATGCCCCTGATTTTGGGGGTGAGGGGGGAAGAGGGGGTACCCTCTCTCCTGACAGTTACACGGAGCCAGCCAAACTTCCCCGGCACTGTCTATGTAGCCTATACTCAGGGGCCAAAAATCACCTGCCTAAAAATGCCTCCTTTGATCACCAGTCCCTCCTCCAGTCCCTGAGGCTGAAATGCCCACATTGGAAGCATTAGAAAGTCACTTCTCAGGACTAAGGCTCTCTCTGGTCTGTCTACCTGCCCTATGTATGGAGCTTTCCCTGAGGGGTATGAAGTGGTTCGTCACATCACTTTCTAAGATGACAGCTGTTTTGACTGAGACAAGGAGGAGGGGAAGGCAAGATTATTCTAGAACCCCTCCCTAGGTGGGCAGCATGAGACCTCAGGAAGGGTGGGCTGGGACAGGTGGAGGAGAGGTGGGAGGAGCTTTTTCCTTTCTTCTCAAGTCTGATTAAGGCTGAGACTGTTCTCATTTATAATAAGCTCTCTTTTGGGGGGAGAAAGGAGGCGGAACACAAGGTTGTTTCTCCTGAGCAAGTCTGACAGAATATAGCAAATCGATCAATCAGAGGAGGGCTTCCACTTTGAGACAAAAGAACTGTTAACTTTACAGACAGATTCCTGGCAGGGTTACTTTGAACAGAAGGCATTCGGCCTCATTCTATCTAAACTGCACTTTTATCTTGCTCAATGAGGTGAACCCGCCTCTGACCAGCCTTCAACCCCAACAGAAATGGCAAAAACAAACGCTCCCTCATATGGCCGCCCCAAGGTCCCCCCCATTGCTGGCCGCTCCTGACTCAAGGTCACTCTGGCCAGCGCTCGTGCGGTGTGAGACAACATTCTGGATACGCCCTGTGGCCCGCGGCAGGCTCCTTCCTGGGCCAGGCGCCCACCCTCCCCCGGACTGTATATATACAGGCTTCCTGGGGACGTGGCGGATCTCGGCCGGAACTTCCCAAGTGAAGGCTGAGAACACACCGGCCTGACTGAGGTCTTGGGGTTGTCTGGGGGCTCAGAAGGAAGGGAAGAGGCATCTATTTTTCCAGCCCAGGTGACCAGGAAGGGAGGAGCGTGGGGCGGAGTGGGGGGGAGGACGGCAAAGAGCCTGGGCTAGGGACCTTGGGGAAGAAACTACTGGGTGACAAGCGAGCCCTCTAGCACAGAAGAGTTTGGGAACTGGGAGCAGGAAAAATAGGAAGCCATTTCGGGAAAACGGTTAGGGGCTGGGTTGATCTGGAGAGAAGCTGGGAGTAGGCGCGATCGACAAAGAGGCCACGGGAAGCAGGAAGGGCTGTGCGGGAGGGGCGCGACCGCGGAGAGAGGGGGCTCCGCGAAAGGCCGCCGCGGCCTGGGTGGGGGTCCCTTCCCCGAGACGGGCCCGCGCCCTCCGCTGGCCTGCCCGCCGGCTCCTCCCCCGGCCCCCGCCCGCCCTTCCGGCCCAGGCCCCGCGCGCCCGGGCCTCCCTGGCCTCACCGCCCCCACGGCCTCCTGCAGCAGCGCCCCGAGCCGGCTCAGCATGGTGGCGGCCCGGCCCGGCTCGGCTCCCAGGCGGCGGTGGCGGCGGTGGCGGCGGTGCGGCGGCGGAGCTCGCAGGCGGAGGCGGCCCCGGAGGCGCGGCGAGGGGGCGGGGCCCTGCCTGGTCCGCCCCGCCCCGGCCAGCTGGGGGCACCTACCGCCCCCAGCCCGGCCCCGGTCCCCGCCCGCGCTGTTGGGAAGGAGGCCGGGCGCAGATGTCGCCCGGCTAGGGAGAGCAAGTTGGGGTGGGGGGTGCGCCCTGGAGCCCGGAGCCGCAGCGGTGGGGCGCCGCGGGGCAGCAGGTTCACGCGGCCCGGTGGGGGGAGCCAGGTGGCAGCGAGAAGGGCTAGTGGGACCAGGAGTTTCTTCCACGAGGAATGGGAAGGTTTGTGGGTCTTGTAAGTCTCTAGACGCCCCTGCCCCCACCCCCTATCTGATACAGTAGCCACTGTCCGCACGTGGCTGTCGAGCCCTGAAACCAACGTGCTAGTCCAAATAGAGAGGCGCTGAAGAGTACCCCGGATTCTGAAGACTCACTACAAAAAGAAGATATAAAATAGCTCACTCGTGATGTTGTATGTTGACGACTTGTTGAAATTGTAACATACTCGATATATTGGGTTAAATGAAGTATATTATGAAAATTAATTTCACTTGTTGCTTGTTCCTTTGCGTGGATACAGCACTGGTCCAGAGGTCCTGCAGAGGAAGTGACAACCGGCCGGACTATCCCAGCAGCGCCCAGGAAGGAAACAGAAGGTGGGTCTCCCACGTCAAGAGGCCCCCTGCCCGGGAAAGTTGGGCCCAAGAATTATGCAGGTAGAGCGGGAATGTCCAGGACATTTCCTGGAATGTCCAGAGCGACAACTCCGCCTGTTTAAAGCCCATTCCTGCCACCCTCTGGAATAAAAAGATCTTCTGAGGAGAGGGCTGGTATCTGTTCAAAATTTATTTCTGCTGACCACAGACATATGATGAGAGGGTGGGGGGGTTAATGTGACACTAGAAAGGAGGGTAGCCTCTACCGCAAAGCTGTAGGACCCAGAGTTGTGGGGTCTTGGGATTTCACTGCACTAGCCCTGCTACTTTGGGCCCCATTCACGGGTGAGGCCGAGGCCCAGGAGACGCGGACCGCTCCAGAGACGGCTGTGTACCCTGGAGTAGAGCCTGGAGTCCGGCCTGAGTCACCAGGGGTGGGGGCAGCATTGTGCCCAGCCCAGATGTGGCTAGCTTTTGGATCTCAGTTCTCAGACAGCTGCCTGGGAAAAATACACGTTTTTAAATAGCCCATCTGCAAATGGGCCGCTGTGAGGAACGCTATGGGAAACAAGAGGAGGCTTTAAGGCCAGAATGTATAAAAACAAAGGGAAGAAACGGGCCTGTTTTGTATCCAGAGAGGTGACTGGGAGAGTTGGGAGACCTGAGTCCAGTCCTGCGCTGTGGTTTTCTGGGCCTGCTTCTGCAGAGATCAGGGTAGCGGCTGCATGGATTAAATCCGCTTTCCCCAGGGAACTCTAGGGGATAGTGAGAGTGCATTAGGAATCCATAGCCTTTCATTTGGCTTCACTTAAAATTTTATCTTACAAGTTCAGTGGATACATTTATATGTGTTATATGCCAAAAGCATTAGAGCCCACGGATGTACAGGTGATCCTTGGACAACATGGGTTTGGGTAGCACACGTCCGCTGATACATGCGGTTAGTGCAGTACTCAAACTGTATTTTCTCTCCCTTGTGATTTTCTTTTTTAAAAAATATTTTTAAGTTTAATATTTTATTATTATTATTTATTAAACTCTACACCCAACATGGGGCTCGAACTCCCAACTCTGGGATTAAGTGTCGCATGCTCTTCCAACTGAGCCAGCCAGGTGCTCCTCTCCCTTATGATTTTAATATTTTTTCTCGGGGTGCCTAGGTGGCTCAGTTGGGTAAGCATCTGGCTTCAGTTTAGGTGATAAGCCCGGGGTCCGGGGATCAAGTCAGCATCAGGCTCCCTGCTCACTGGGGAGTTGGGTTCTCCCTTCCTTCTGACTCTCCCCCTGCTGTGCTCTCTCTCTCTCTCTCTCTCAAATAAATAAATAAATAAATAAATCTGTAAAATTCCTTTTTCTCTAGCTTACTTTACCGTAAGGATACAGTATGTAGTGCATATAACATGTGAAACGTGTTTATCGACAGTTTATATTAGTAAGGCTTCTGGTGAACAGGCTAACAGCAGTTAAATTTGGGAGCAGTCAGAAGTTATATGCAGATTTTTAAAGATTTTATTTATTTGACAGAGAGAGACACAGTGAGAGAGGGAACACAAGCAGGGGGAGTGGGAGAGGGAGAAGCAGGCCTCCCGCTGAGCGGGGAGCCCGATGTGGAACTCAATCCCAGGACCCCGGGATCATGACCCCAGCCGAAGTCAGATGCTTAATCAACTGAGCCACCCAGGCGCCCCATAGATGCAGATTTCTGACTGTGTTTTCTAACAACCCCCATGTTGTTCAAGGGTCTTTAAAGTCTGCCAGATTAGCTCATTTGGGAGAAAACCTTTGAATAATGCCATTTCTTCTGTCAGTTTAAATGAGGGCCAAGGCTATTGCTAGGTGAATCATTTTAAATGCACGAGTCACTAAGCCCAGCTCCAAGAAGAGGGGACATTGACACTGCGCTAGCTCCATGGGAGGAGTGCGAATGGGTTTGTGTGCATTTCTAAACCATCACAATTTTGTAACTACTTATCTGTGTGGATCAGGATTTTCCTGAGCCGGTGCAGTCAAATACAATAGTGAGTGAGCTCTCATGTGATAAAGAGGCAACTGTTGTTTATAAATCTTAATTTAAAAATGTTTTAGTCATCAAAGCTTCTTTGTTCTCATTCATTTTCATCATTATTAGTTATAAAATTTAACTTGTAAATGTATTCCAATTTTTTAATTAAGATATAATTTTTTTTTTAAAGTTTGCTACTGAAAAGATTTGGAAACTGCTGGACTAAGTGATCACCAAGGTTTGGCATCCTTTCACATGCATATGCTTGTATACAATCCTGTGTGTGTGTGTGTTGTCGGAAGGAGCACTGAGAGATTCTCCTAAGGCTTTGTCTTAGGGACCCAGCTCTACTTCAAGTCTCTCCACATCTCAAGAACTTAAAATCCTCTGGGTCTTAGCCTGCGGTCTGCCTCACCGGGAGCATTTCCCAGTGACCTGTGACCAAACGCTGCCTCAGCACCCAGGGAGCTCTGTGGATGGGGGGTGCTGGCCTCCCACCACTGTATCCCCAAGTACTGGAACAGGGTAAGCTCTCTAAACATTGGCTGACCACCTAAAATTGGGTAACTATTCCTCTCCCCCACCCCACCTCCTCATCTGCCCTCCCTGCTGCCCCTTGGGGAAGGGGCAGCCCTTATATTGGGGAATTCCTGGGTTAGCAGTCGAGAAACTTGCATGTAGCTTCAGGCTTCAAATGAACAGCCTCTTCTAGAACGTTCTCTTTCGCTGAAAGGGTTGAAATGATCTTCACTGGCACCACACAATGTCCTCCTTCTGATCTTCTGGTCAGATCTGCACCCTCTCCAGCCACATCCACACTCCAGGTCCCTGTCTGCACCCCCTGGGAGGCCTTAGCCAAGTCACTCAAGACCATGGGACCCCCTCGTCTGTCAGCCTCCACTGAACCCGGGGTCCACTAGATCTCACCCATCGTTTTTCCACTGCTTGGTTTTCCCTGCCTGCTCTTCAGTAGTCCCCTCACCCCTACTTCTCCACGGCTGACCTCCTCTGTGGTTTGGCCTCCCCGCAGACTAGGAGCATCGGGCCATGAAGGGGGCAATCATGTCCCATGTTGATGAGCTGGATTACCAAGCTGAGCGCTCAGGGCCTCAGCACAGGACAAGCCGGCTTTGCCCCTGACTTTCTGCCCTTCCTCTGCATCTCCGTGCTCACCCAGCCCCTGAAGAGGAGGCAGCAGCTGGGACCCTGCAAGGCTAGCCCTGCTGCCGGGGCCTGGGGTTGAGGGAAGGGCAGTGGGTCTCTGCTGTTTCCCCCTCTTCCAACCCTTGGTGCTTCCCATCTGAATCCTCACTCCCAAGACTTCCCTCAGCCTGGCGTCACCTCTCCCTCTTACCCAGATCTGGTGGCTCAGAAAGAACAAACAGATTTGGGGACCCAGTGCAACCTTTTAATTCCAAGCAGAGTCCCCCTCCCACAGCATTGTCACACACACACACACACAGTGGAAAGGGATGCCAGGGTCTGGGCAGGAACAAAACCCAGACCTGGGCAAAAATATATATATAATTATATACACATATGTATCTGTAGAGAAGAGAAGCTGGGAGTGTGATTAAGGTAGGGCAGAGAGTTAGGAGAGAAAGCAGCTGGGGGGTGCCCCAATAAATTACATTCTTTAGACAGCGTGGTGGGGGTGCATGGGAGTGGGCAGGACCTGGTGGCCAGGACACTCAGCCTGGCCTCATGATCCATCCAAGAGCGCCTGGAGGCCTGGGTTCTGCCCAGGACTGGGTGCTGAAGTCTAGCTGACTTTGCCTGGAGGCTGACGGTGGGCCGGGGTTCTGCTGAATCCCCACTCTAAGCCAAGGCTTCTGGGGAAGCCACAGGGCTGGAGCAAGAGGCTTTGAAGCTTAGGGGTCGTGAGGAGAGAACAGGGTGAGCTGGAGGACAGGGTGACCTCATTGCTAGAGGCTGAGCTCAAGTCGCTCCTGCTAAGAGTCGGAGAAGCCAGAGGCCCAGGTGCAGGGGAGGCTGTCCAAGGGGAGGTGAGGAGGCGTGCCTGGGTTTACACGGAGTCCCGAGGCTCTCCCTGCCTGCCCAGCTGCTTCTCACCGTCACCCTCCTCCCAGGAGGCCCAAGGGTTCTACCCACCCACTGGTCAAGATGGCCAACACACCTGCCCACTAGGTGCTGCCTTCCCTTGTCCTTACTCTCTTGGGGGGACTCTCCTGTGGGGGTGGGGTGGGAGAGGGTGCAAACATTATCTCTGTGTGTGCTGGGCTCCAGACAGGGTTTGCCCTGTGCCGTGAGAGCCAGTGGGGAGGGAAAGGGGCCCCTGGCTCCTTGTGAGGAAGCAAGTTCAAGTCCTACAACCCCGGCCCTGCAGAGGTCTTGGCTCCCCCTCAGCTGGGGGATGGAGCCAACCCTACCTATGTCCCCCCGGCAACCTGCTCCCTTAAGAGATGATGCCTTGGGGTCTAGCGGCCCCAGCTCCAGAGCAGGGGAGAGCATCAGTCACAGAGTGGGAAGGGTGATCAGAAGAGAGAAGCCTTTTTCTTGAGTTCATTCCGCTTCCACAGGGCCAGCTTGCTAAACTCTTCAGGAGACATGGAGAATACCCTTGAGAAGTCCTCAGCTGACAGGTGTCTCTGGAAAGGGGACACCCCGAGGCAGCTTAGGGACAGGGGCTCGGGGCGGGCGGGGCCAGGTGACTAAGGGAGCACTCAGAAAGGGCCCTGGACTCTCCCACCCATTTCCTCTGCATACCTCAAGCCTCATCCGGTCCACACCTGGAGGCAACTTGGTCCTCCCCTTATTGGTCACCATAAGCATTTCGTAGGGATAGATCTGGGGGAGATGGGAGGGGGCAGCCTTAGGCCCATAGAGCCTCCTGTCAGCGTAACCCCCCTCAATTCCCTGGGCCGCCTATCAGCCTGTAAGGGCCACTGGGGCCCACGCCATTTTTGCCAACCATCTCCCCCAACTTCCCTGCTGCCCTCCCATCACTGACCCCTTAGTGCATTCGCTTCCCTGGCTTCTCCCCACCAGCTGGCTGGCCCGCCCCCACTGCAGATGGTTCTGTCCCCTGCCCACCACCCCTGGCTCTGCCCCTGCCCCTCACCTTCTGCTCCAGCACACAGGGCAGGGAGTTCCCCCGGTCCATCCTCCCCCTCTGGCCCTCTCCGTTCTGGGGAGACCAAAGCCGCAGTGAGCCAGAGTGGGGCAGGGAGACCTCCCCAGCCTTACCCGGGGCTTCTCGTGTCTTTACCATGCAGCTCTGTGGCCCCGCACCTCCCCCCCAACACTCCCGTCACCCGTCTGTGGCTTCTGCTGCTCCGCGTGCTCCCCTCCAGAAGGAGCTCACCTGCAGGCCTGCAAGAGAGAAGAGTCACTGTCCAGAGGCAGCTCTGAGGTCAACAGGCCTCCAAACCTGCCAGCACCACCTCCCCAACCTCCAGCCACAGCCCTGCCCACATCACAGCCACGGGCTACCCTGGGGCCTGTTGGGGCCCCTTTCCCAGCTTGCCTGACATGGGGTGGTCCCTGCCTCTCACCTGGGCTTCCAGTCTCACTCCCAGAGGGGCTGAAGTCTGTGGACTGTAGCTAGAAAGGACATGAAGGGGTCAGAAGGAAGCTGGGGAACTCCGCACTGCCCCCCAGGACGCCCCAGTAGCTCAGTCCCTCCGAGGAACCCGACAGCACACTTCCCTTGCAGTCTGTGGTCTTCCTCTGTGATCTTACCCGGCTCAGCGTGGTCCTGCCATAGGCGGGGAGAGAAGATGACTTCGATGTTCCTGCGTGCAAGGCTGGGAGAGAGCAAGAGGGCCCGTTCAGTGCCTTTGTTCTGACCATTATTCTTGAGAGGGCTGCCTCCCTGGCCTCCCCTGCCAGAGGCAAGGTGGTGAAACATGGGCCTGGGGGGGGCCCAGGGGGGCCCTTCTGGCTTCTGGCTAATGCCCATTACCTTCCACAAGTGCCCTGTGCTCGCGGCTCTGAACTGTCTCACTAAGTACACATCTGGGGACACCTGAATGAATCTGTCGGTTGAGCATCTGACTTTGGCTCAGGTCATGATCCCAGGGTCCTGAGATTGAGACCCGCATAGGGCTCCCTGTTCCGTGGGGAGTCTGCTGCTCCCTCTCCCTCTGTCCTCCCCACTGCTTGTGCTCTCTCTCTAATAAATAAAATCTTTAAAAATAAATACACACACACACACACATACACACACATCTGGGTGTAACGCCCGAGTGTTAGAATTGATAGATCAATGATGGCCAGAGGATCACCATCCTAAAATGAAACTCAGAGCTACAAAAATGTATCTGAAATTTAGTCAAAATAATTAGAACCATTACAATCTTATCATTAGCAATACTAGTGATCAAATTTCAGATGTTTGATACTACAATACAGAAATGATCGTTTCCCCCCCACCCCACCCCCCGCACTGTGAGCTGCTAGACTGTACCAGCAGCCACTGTGCAGCACATCTGTGGGGAGCCTGGTTGGCTCCGTCCGCACAGCACAGGACTCTTGATCTCAGGGTTGAGAGTTCAAACCCCATGGCGCCTGTAAAGCTGACTTAAAATTATATACGTAGACTTCCCATTTGCAAGATCAGATGTCACTTTCAACTCACACATTTCATGGTAGCGCTTAGCTTTCTTGCACAGCAGACTATAACTAAAGAAAACTGGTTTTCAGTTACTAGGTTTTCCTAAAAAAGAACTTTATAACTAATATTCTTAGTTTGGCAAGATCTCAAGACTCTTCCATGTCCAAATGCTAGAAACCACTGGCATTCTATGGCAATCATTCTGATAAAGGTTTTTAAGGTGTACTTAATTATTTAAATAAGTAATTTCTATAGCCAATGAAAGGCTCGAACTCATGACCCCAAGATCACTAGTCACACACTCCTCCAACTAAGCCAGCCAGGCACCCCAACAAACATTTTTGTTTGATAGATTCAAAACTGTAAGAAATTGTCTTCTTAAAACATTCTTTTAAAAGCTGTTTTTTGGAAGTTTTGTGAGAACAAAATGTGTCTTGAGGAACTTGTTTTTCTTTTCTTAATACTTTTTTTTTTTAATACTTCTTACTTTTGTACAGGAAATTATCTGTTTCTACAAAGATCAGTCATTACTGAAGTATTTCACTTTTTAAAAAAAAGATTATTTATTTACTTATTTGACAGACAGAGATCACAAGTAGGCAGAGAGGCAGAGGGAGGGGAAGCAGGCTCCCTGCTGAGCAGAGAGCCTGAGGCAGAACTCGATCCCAGGACCCTGAGACCATAACCCTGAGCCGAAGGCAGACCTTAACCCACTGAGCCATCCAGGCGTCCCTTAAGTATTTCACTTTTGTATTTATTAGAGAGAGAGAGAGAAAGAGACAGAGAGAGCTCGTACAAGCAGGGGGAGGGGCAGAGAGAGAGGAAGTAGACTTCCGGCTGAGCAGAGAGCCTTAAGTGAACCTTGATCCCAGGATGCTGGGATGTTGAAGGCCGATACTTAACGGTCTGAACCACCCAAGCACCCCAGCATTTCCCTTTCCTGAGAATAAGTAAACATTTACATTTCAAGTGACTGATAGAATTTCAACCTACAAAGCACGTAAGATTTTTACTTCAAATTACTTTTATTTATTTTCAAAGATTTTATTTATTTGACAGAGAGAGACAGAGAGAGAGGGAACACAAGCAGAGGGAGTGGGAGAGGGAAAAGCAGGCTGCCCACTGAGCAGGGAGCCTGAAGCAGGGCTCGATCCCACGACCCCAGGATCATGACCTGAGCCGAAGGCAGACGCTAAATGGCTGAGCCACATGCTTAACGGCTGAGCCATACATGCCTCCTTCAAATTACTTTTAGAAAGCTTATTTATGTTTGAAAGTGACCATTTCAATGTTACTACGAAGTCAGAATGACATGCCTATTCATAATTCTGAAATTGCTGAGGGCCCCTGAGTGGCTCAGTGCGTTAAGTGTCCAACGTGATTTCTGCTCAGGTAGGTCATGTCTCAGGGTCCTGAGATGGAGCCCCACATTGGGCTCAGGGCTCAGTGCAGAGTCTACTTGGGATTTTCTCTCTCTCTGCCCCTCCCCCTGCCTACACACATGTGCTCTCTCTCTCTCTCTCTCTCTCTAGTAAGTAAATTTAAAAATCTTAAGAAAACAGTCTGAACTTGTTTAGGTGGATTAGATATGACCGTAACCTGTGCAATCACATGATCACCATCACATACAAGTTCAGGGATGCCAAAGACGATGAGGAAGTAGACATTTGGCTCTTCCACTTTGTCAGGCCAAAATGGAAGTTGAAAGGCTAATTCTGACTGAATAGCAAAATCTGGTGGAACATGAAGATTGAATCCCACCTTCGGGGCATCTCTCCACCTGCCTCTTTCTTCAGGCCTTCAATATTCTACATCCTCTAAGAAGGCCCTATTGTAACTCTTCCCACTCATACTGAAGCATCATCCTGGGGACTCAGTGTCCCTGTGGATGTCCGTGCACATATGGCCTTTACGGCTCCCTGAATCCCCCACTCCGGTGGCCTCCACCTGCACCCCCCGTTGAGGCAGCCCCTTACATGGCCACCCCCGGGATCTTGTCTACAACGCCAGCACCTTGACATCTGAAGCCCAGGAATCCCACTTTGCAGCTGCTGCACCACACCCTTGTTTGCAGCTTCCCCTTAGCCTCACTCCCAGCACATCCATTCATCAGGGTCGTGGGGACCTCCAGGGTCTTGATCTCTACCCATGTCCTCGAGTTTCGCTCCGCGGTCAGCAGGCCCCCGGCCCCTCCTCCCTCAGGGCCTGCCTCATGCAACCCTAACCCTGGATCGACCAGCTCCCCGTCCCTGCAGGCCTCAGCTTCTCCTGGTACCTGCTCCTGGGCCCAAGTTCCCAGCCCAAAGAGCAAGAGGCATTTCGAGGCCAGAAGATGGCCTCTTGCATCCTGAATCCTGCTTGGGGGCAGGTGGTGGGGCGGGCTCCAGGGCACAGCCTCGACATCCTCCCTTCCCTCTCTTCTCTGCACAATCCCATTTTCTCTCAAGGTCTTACACAAGCTGAAGACTCACCTCACCCTGCAAGCTTCCGGCTCAGTTAAGACCTGGCTCCCTACTACATGTGCTTCAAGCCCAGCATGTCCCAAACCGGTCCCTTCGTCCTTCCCCCAAGACCCACTCCCTCATCACCTCAGTTCCAGGTTTGTCCCCACCCAGCACCCAAGCCAAGACCCCCCCACTCGGCTCTCTCCCCACATCCAATCAGCCACTTAGTCTGGCTGACTCCATCTCCTATATGTTTCTTAAGCCCACAGCCCTTCTCTGGGCCTCAGCATAGCTTTAGCCCTTACCCAGCCCCTTGGAAAATGTGGTGGAGTGTCTCCGAAGATGGCCTGCCTGTTCTCTCCCAGCCTGTGTGCCTTTGAGCCACTGCCTTCATCGGGCACTGGAATGCCTCTCCCCTCCCCCCAGTGGAAGCTGCCCGCTGAGCTGCTCTGACCAACTGGAGTGGGGCTTGGCTCCGAGGCTAGGCTTTCATAGGCCTCAGAGTTTCAGCTTGGATTCTCACATCTCCCTCCTTCTGCTGCAGCTCTGGGGAAGTTCGGGCTAGATTCCAGCGATGGACGTATAGTACCCAAAGCCCAGGCCACCCTGTCTCTGGCTGATCCGTCACCCCAAGGCACACTCTGGGTTCTGGAACTGCAGACTCCTGCAGGCCTGTAAGTGGACCAGGACGTTTCCTGTTCCTTGCCTCTGCTCCCACGCTGTCCTCAGTGTCTGAAGAGAATATATCTTTTGACTCTCTAATCCCGTGTCCAGCATACGTTAGACACTCAATAAATGTTTTGTCAATGAAACAAAATTTGCTCATTCTGCTTTAGCTGATACTTTTATCACCTAGTCTTATTCCATGATTGGTATCCTCGCCTGAGGAGAGCGTGAGGGCCTTGACATGCCAGTGACAGAACCTTCTGTCTCCTGCACCCCCTTATGATAGACGGACTCAGACTCTGTGGTTCTGGCCTCCAGGTCTGGCCACGTGATTCAGGGCCCCAGCTGTGGCACTCACAGGTATGAAAGGGTGTCCTGTCAGGCAGTGAGCGGGTTTTCCTCCGGATAGGCAAGGACTTTTCCATCTCTTCTTTCAAGATCATCTTTCCCAAGTTGGAAGTAACCTGGAGAAAGAGAGATGAAGACTTCCGTACTCAGTTCTTACCTCCATCGGAACCGGATACCTGCATTCCTGAGCCGCTGGCTTGTGCCCTGGAGCCTGTGGGGCCTGTCACTCTGGTCTGAAGCGCTGCCACGCTGGGTCTGGCCACCCCCGAGAGCAAGGAGTCAGCGCTGCATCTGAGTGGCCTCTGTGTCGTCCCAGGTCACTCTCCCAGAGCACCAGCCCCAGGCACTCTCATGGCCTTTCCATGACTCCTGACACCCTCTCTCCTGCTGTTCTTGCTCCTCTTCCCTGAACTTAGCCTCCTGAAGCCTGGCACTGGGAGGGGGGCACTCTTTTCTTTCCCTTAACCCTAAGTTAACTAGTGTTCCCCCAAAGCAGCGTGAGGTCCTGATGTCCCTTCAGCAGCAGCAACCCGATGTCCCGGGAAGAAGCGTAATTCCTCATGTTCCTACAAGGATTTTCTTCAGGTACAAAACCATTTAGAACAGAACAGCTAGAGACCTGGGACTTTTGTCCCCAAGAAGATATGGGCAGGGTGGCTAGGGTGAAGTGAGATGCTACCTTACTGAGTTCCTCTCGCTGACGCTCCCTGAGAGCCTTCATCTCCTCCCCGGAGTCATCATCTTCCTCCTCTTCCTCTTCCTCTGCCCCCCTCCGAGATGCCTTCCGCTTCCTCCATTCTGTCTCTGGGGAACACAGGCACAAGCAGGCTCATCAATCAGCCATTCACTCACCAAGCATTTATCAGGCGCTGGGCTGCCCCTTCAAGAGAACACTACAGATTACTTTGTAAAAAATAAAAGGAGGGGTGTCTGGATGGCTCAGTCGGTTGGGCATCTGCCTTTGGCTCGGCTCATGATCTGGGGGTCCTGGGATCGAGCCCCACATTGGGCTCCCTGCTCAGCGGGGAGCCTGCTTCTCCCTCTCCTCCCTGCTGTGCTCTGTCTCACTCTCTTTCAATAAAGCAATAAAAGCCTTAAAGAAAAATAAAAGTAATGTTCTCTAGCCTTCTGGTAAAGCTGAGTAGGCAACACACAGTCACATGAACTAATTCACTAGGGACCAAGACCTTGTCTCATTCCTCTTTCTCTTTTCCAGAACAGAGCTCCAATCCCAGAGCCCAGGATGCAGACGTTTGGTCAATGTCTGCTGAGTGGTCCAGTAAGTGAATGGAAAGGGAGGGGAAGACCAACAAGCAGGACCACATACACCAAGAGCTAGAGGAAGGCAGGGAATAGAGAAGGGCCACAAGGGTCATGAAGGACAGAGGGTAGCAGTGGGGAGAAGGTGGGCTCGTGGAGCTTCAACGCAGACTATGAGGCGGTGTCCCGGGCCTCCCCTCCCCTCTCCAGCAAGGTCTCCTACCCACGACCGCCAGCGACGGGGGGCATGGCCAATAGTCGGTTTCAATCTTGGCCGGCTGGTTGGGGTCGGGCGGCTGGGCTGCAGGGAACTTGGAGGACTCGATGATGAGGTCCTCGATGAGGTGCTTGCTCTGAGGGCTGCCTGCCGTGGACTCTGCGGGTGGAGGTCAGGGTCAGTCCCCACCCCGAGTCAGGCCACTTCAGCCCACCGTAGCTCCAACTCTTTAACCTGTCCCGGTCATACCCGAGGCACCATGTGTGTGAAAACAGGGCACAACAAAGGGCACTGGACAGGGGTTATGTGCTGTTATGGACGGCTTTTCTCCCACGGCCTCCCAGCCCAGCTCAGGGAAGGGAGCCCTCACCTCTCTGCTTGTAGATGGGTGGCTTCTTGTAGATGTTGGAATCTGGGCGGGTGGTCTCTGTGGACAGGGAGCAAGAGCCGATGAGAAGGATATGCTGATGGTGGGTGAGGCTGGCTCATTGAGAAGGGCACAAATGGGATGGGAGAAAGCAAGGAAACTCAGGGGCTCCTGCCCAGAGCCAAGACAGAACTGGAGTTTCTGGAGCTGTCCCTCAAGGGGCTGGGGCTTTTCACACTTTTCTTGTTGGATGGGAGCAAAGGCACAACGGGACCCATCATTTTGGGGTGTTCTGCTTGTGGTCCTGGCAAGAGGAGGTCTGGCCATTCTGGGGTGAGCCTATACCCCAGAGAGTGGGGTCTGAGAATAAGAAGCTTGGGTGCCTGTAGGAAAAAGAGGTCCTAGGGGAAGGGTGCCCCACCCCACCATAAAACCTACCCGGATGGTGGAAATGGGGTAGCGGGGTCCGGGGGGTCCCAGTGGTTCTTGGGGCTGAAGCCTGAGAGATGGTTCCAGGGGACCGGCTCTCTGCCCACACCTGCAGAGCAGAAGTGCGGTTGGCTGAAGCTCCCAGGTCCCCCACCCTAACCCTCTCCAGCCCATGGATACACTGCTTCACCTCACTCCACCATTTCTGACCCCCCACCCTAGCAGCCCATGAGCCCCCAACCCCAGGGCGGAGGAAGGGTGTCCAAGGACTCGACCTGCTGGTGGTGTCCGACCCAGGGCGAAAGGGCTAAATGAGATCCTGGGTCAGACAGACAGATGGCCCCAGAGCTGGTCGGCGACAGGATGAGGTCATCCTGCGGGCCCTGCATATGTGTGGGGGTGGGGAGCTGGGCAAGTGTCAGGTGTGGGGCAGACTCACCTCTGGGGATGGTGGGGGGGAGGTGGATTTGGGTGACAGTGAGCGCTGCGGATGGAGAGGAGGCTGGTCAGAGCCACAAGGGTAGGGGTAAATCCTCAGCCCTAGAACCCCGGAGGGACTGCCTCATCCCCCACCCAACTCTGCACCCGTGTCTGGCAAATCTTGGAGCCGCATCTTCTCTCTCAGTCCTTGCCAGTTCCCAGCACTGGCCCTCCAGCCTTCTCCCTCTTAGTGCTCTCCTGGGCAGAGTCCTCTCTTTCTCTGCAGGTGCAGAGAAGGCACGGATCTTGCGCAGTGTGCTTGTGGTCCTCAGGCCAGCTGGAGGTGGCTCTGGCCCCATACTCGGAGCCTAGCACTCAGGGGAAGGGCCAAGAGCCATGCGCATCCAGGATGGAGTCTGGGCTCCCTGCCAGGCGGTCAAGTCTCCCCCTCAAGCCTGCCTCCGGCTCCCAGCTCAGCGGTGCCACAACCCCTTTCTGGAATAGTTTCCAAAGCAGCTGCCGTGGGTTACCTCTGGCACTTCCATCCCCAGCGTGGAGGGTGGGCGGAAGTATCACCTCTATTTTACGGGAGGGGAAACTGAAACAACGCCTTCCCATCGTCACTCAGCTAGGACTTCCAGCCTCCCAGTCCAGGGTTCCCCGGGGCTTCGGGCCAGTTTGGTCTTTCTGTGCACTCCCACGCTTCTCCTCCACAGCCCCTCACCCCCTGCTCTGCGAGGCTGCCATTCAAATGTGGCCTCCCCTGTTCTCCACGTGGAGCTACCCTCCAGCCTCCAGCCATCTCTGCTGGCTCTCCACAGACACTGGGCGGATCATTGGTTGATTTCTGCCCACAGTTCCCTTTCTTGTTTTGGAGTCTGGCCGCCAGGAAAGGAAGCAGGAGAGGGATTCCGCCTCCTCCCCTGTGTGGCTGGGGGAGCCCTTCCCCCAAGTCCTGTCCAAGAGGAGCCTCCCAGCCCTCACCTCCCGGCTTCTGGGCAGCTCCACATGCTCCAGGAGAGAATAGGTAAAGTGGGGCTCATAGATCATGAGGTCAGGCCGCTCGATGTCCAGGATGGCCTTGTCCTTGGGGATGGCAGCCAAGTCTTTGTAGCCCAGCACCTGATTGTCCATCTTGGCCTAAAGGGAAATGGCAGGAATGGAGCAGACGTGCTGAAGGCCTCACTAGCATTCTGACCTTACAAACTAGACTTGCCATGTCTCAGGAAGAAAACGGGCAGCCATTTGAGATGCCAGCTCCTATTAGTTAATAATTCTATTGTTTGAATTTTTAAAGGTCTAGAGAGTCACCTTAAAAAATGATGGTCCTTCACCTAGCACTTTGGGTACAAAGGAGGCAGGACCAGTCCAGCAGAAGCCGGCTGCAGGGAACCTTCTCTGGATTTCTGGCTTCTCTCTGCCTACCAGTCCCGGCAGAACCGTCGTCTGGGAGGCTCTGGGTGAAGCGGCCCAGCACGTTCCCCACCCCACTCCCTCGTCCCTGCCTGAGGGTGCTGGTGGCTGAGAGGTACTCACCACGATGCTGGAGGGAGAGCCAGGAACACTGGAGTCTCGGGAGGAGCTGACGCTCCCAGGGGAGGTCAGTGGTTGCTGGGGAGAGTGAAAGGCGGGCGGGTGGGAGTGAGCGTGCGTGCCAGGGCCGGAGCGGGCAGGGCTCTCCACCAGGCCGAGGGCCGGGCGGAGGCGGAGGGGGGGCGGGTTTGGAGGCTGGGGAGGGCTTCCCTAGGTCTCTGGGGACGCGGGGTGCGGCGCCGCGGGCAGCCACCAGGTGGCACCGTCGACGCCTGACCTGCCCCTCCGCAGGGAAGCCGGCCCCCACCCGCTGCCCAGGCCGCCCACCGCCCGCGGACGTGGGGGCGGCCCTCGCGCACCTTCTGCAGCCGTTCCATGCAGCAGGGAGCTGGCCGGTCGGGTCACTCGCAGAGCCCCGTGCGCGAGGGGAGACGACAGGGCGTCAGGCTCTGCCAGGCTCCTGGGCGCTGCGCGCTCCGGGCCACGAGAGCAGGGAGTGCGTTCCGCCGGGCTGTGGCGTCCTCATCCCTCAGTGACTCTCCAGGCGGCTGACCGAGCGCCGGGCCTGCGAGGGGAGGGAGAGCGTGCCTGTGAGCGCGGTGGCGCCCCGGACCTCTGGGAGCTCGGGAGAGCAGGGCGGAAGGGAGCCGGCGCCCTCCAGGATCGCGGCTTTCCATTCGCTCAGCCCCAGGAGGGCCAGCGCGTGTGGACAGCGAGGCGGGAAGGCGGAGGGGCTGCACTTGTTTTTGAGCCATTGTTCTCTGGCTGGAAAGGAAATGACTGCAGGGGTCAGCAGTTCCGTGCAGCCTCCGCATTCCTGCTTTGTCACACCTGCCCGGCCCTGCCCTGTCCTGGGGCCGCAGTCGGGTTTCAGGCCCAGCTTCTCACTCCCCTTGGCCTTTGCCAAGGCTTCTCCCTCTGGCTCTGGGCTGGCCCCCGACCCTCCCCCCATCCCCCAATCCATTGGCCATTGTGCTCCCCTCTGTCTCATAGCCTAGAGGGTCCTACTGAGCCTATGAGGTGGACAGACCATGAGGACTGGATGGAGCCAAACTGACTTGGCATGAGGGGTCAGGTCCTGGCTGGGGGCGGGCGGGGGGTGGGTAATGACAGGGAGAAGAAGGGAGGGGAGGCTGGAGGGAGCCCACATTCCCGTTGTCCCTGTCCCTGTTCCCTGCAGGGAAGAAGGGAGAGGAGACCGGAGGGAGCCCAGAGCCCCCCACATCCCTGTCCCTGTCCAGCAGTCAGTCCCACTTGCACACAGGTGACTTGAGGTGGAGGCCACATCCCAGCAGGGCGCAGCCTTCTCAGGACACCTGTGCTGGGGTTGCCCTCTGCACTGCTGCTTCAAGGCAAGGCAGCACTCCTGCCTGCACTGCTCTTTCTTTCTCCTAGAGAGTTGGGTCTTGTCTGCTGCAGCAGATTATGAGTTCCCTGGGGCCACAGTCCATGTCTTGGTGTCTCCAGCCTTCATGGGCAATTCCTTTAGCAATCCTCCCTCCCCTCTCCCCCAGATTGATCATGCAATAACCATTCAGTGAATGGCTGGCTGGGTTTCCAGCAGTGGGGGCAGTGGGACTCTCTGTGACCCTGGGCAAGTTACTTCTTCCCTTTGTGCCTCACGCTTCTCATCTGTAAAACGGAAGACAGTACTAGTATCTCTGTCCTGGGGCGACTCTGAGTATTAGATAAGTTATAACAGGCGAAGTGCTTAAAACATTATCAAGTCTAGGGAGAGTATTAGCTATTATTATTTCTTTTTCTTCAAGGACTAATGAACTTTGATGTCTATTCCATAGCCAGTCTTTACCACAGTGGGTAGTGGCTATTAGTGCTCCCAACCTTATCACCTGTTACTTTGTATCAGGCCATTCTTGGGCTCACCCTCTCTCCACCCCCAAAACCACCTGCAGGAGCAGCCCTCACTCCCACTTCCCTGCTTCTGCGCATCCCTCCCACTACTCTCTGTCCACCTCCTCATCTCCCGGATCCTGGATACTCTTGCTCTGGGAGGCCTCCCCTGCTATGCTAGTCCTTCTCATAGCCCTTCACTGAATTCCAGTGCGACTGAAAAACAGACCCATATAACTTAGCCCTTCATTATATGTTGCCTAATGCAGGAACATATTTTTTCACTAACCAGAATGAGGGCTAACTTCTGGAGGGCAAAATAACAAAGCAATTGCCATCCTTTTTTGAATGCTCATGCTAGGTACTTTGATAAGCACTTTTTTTTTTTTAAGATTTTATTTTTAAGTAATCTCTACACCCAATGTGGGGCTCAAACCTACAACCCCAAGACCAAGAGTCACATGCTCCACCAACTGAGCCAGCTGGGGCCCCTAATAAGCAGTTTAAAAGGATGATTCGTTTCATCCCCTCCAATATCCCTATAATGCAGACCCATTTACAGATGAGAAAACTGAGGCTCAAAGACGTTAAAAAGTTGTCCACAGTCATGGAGCTGAAAATGACTGTGTCTTCAGCACTGGCATGGTTCAAAGCGCCTAGCAAGTACTGTGTTGCTAGTACTGTGTCAGATGCATTGTGGGGATAGAAGAAAATCTGCCACATTTCTCAAGTTTTTTTGGAATTCTAGAATCAAGTCTTCTCCAAGACAAGTCCCTGGCTGTCAGAGTCACACTAGGTATTTGGTGCCCATGGAAAGACTCCATTCCAGAGCTTTATCTTTCTCCGGCCTCCTTAGCTCTCCCTTTGTAATGCTTTTATAACTAGGTGTCTGAGGATCAGCATAAACACTAATATACATTCAAAGAGCTGTTAGCTCTCCTTCACTTCTCTCTGATCTTTACTGTTTTTTTTTTTTTTAAAGATTTTATTTGTTTGCCAGAAAGAGAGAGAGAAAGAGCACAAACGGGGAGTGGCAGGTAGAGGGAGAAGCAGGATCCCCACTGAGCAAGGAGGCTGATGTGGGACTTGATCCCAGGACACAGGGATCATGACCTGAGCCAAAAGCAGACGCTTAAACGACTAAGTCACCTAGGCATTCTTGATCTTTACTGTGTTAATAGACATTGTCAAACTAGCTATCTACATGGCTTAGCTTTACAGCCAAACACTCATTCATCCACGTGTCTATCCACCTATCCATCTCCATCCGTCCATCCATCCATCCATCCACCCACTCACCCATCCATCCACCAGTCAACTACCCACCCACCCAGTCATATCTTGCTTTATCCATCCATTCACCAAATACTTCCTGAGCTCCTACTCTGTAATAACTGTAGGCAATGCTCTGTGATAAGTCTTATGGAGAAAAAAAAGATGAGGCAAGGGAGCCAAGCTGTCCCTGCAGAAATGAGGCATATATGTAGATAATTCCCACACAAAGCAGAAAATTACATATGCCAGATAAGATAATAGAAGGAGCTGTGAGAGGTCACAGGACAAGGGATCACTTCTGCTGGGGTGTTGAGAAAAGAAAATTAAAAAAAAATATTCCTTACAGGAGGTATTTGAGGTATGCCTTGAAGGCCCAGTTTGAGTTCATGCAAAAAACTAAAGAATGGACTCTTGAAAGAGAAGGCAGCGTGAGCAAAAGTAGGAGCGTGGGGCCGGGGGTGGGGGGCAGCACTGGGTCTGCCTAGGGAACAGCAAATATGGCTGAACTGTAGAGCTCATGAGGTTGAAATCTGTGTGGGGCAAGAGGTTGGGGGTCACATTATGGAGGCCTCCAACCCAGACCAGGGGATTTCGATTGCATTTTGTGGGCAACAGAGGCCACAGAATGCTTAGAAACTTCTTTCAAATAACTAAGTGATAGATCCAAGTAGTGCTTTGAGATGATGAATGTGGCTGGGAGAGAGGACTGGACAGAAAGGGGCAGCGAGGACAGCCCAGCCTGGAAGCTACAGGAATAGTTCTGGCAGGGACTTGTGAGGGCCCAGACCCTCGCGTGTGGCCCAAGATGGACTAGAGGCCAATGGGAGAGATCCTAGAGGGAGAATGTGCAAAACAGACTCCATCTGGAGAGCCCCCAGGACAGAGGTGGGTGGCTGGCTCAGAGCAGAAGAAGGGGAAGCAGTGAGCTCACTTGGTGCCTGCTTGAGGTGGTGGTGGGCACCGCTGACGAGCAGGAGGACGCAGAGGCTGACGGAGGAGCGGGCTGGAAAGAGAAATTTAGGAGCCATCTGACTAGAGGGGGTCTGAACATGAGGTCACCAAGGGAAAGAAGTTTAAAACCAGCATCCTAGGAAACACCTAGGGGACTAGAAGAAAAATCATCACAGATGGCACAAAAGGGACCAGGAAAAAAAGATGGCTGCTCCCTGGGAGCAGGGAGTGTGTCTAGTGCCTCTGAGCACAGGGAGTTCAGACAGGTAAGAGCGAGGGTGGGAGGGAAGGGCTGAGGAAAAGCCACGAAGCCCAGTCTGTGGCCAGACAAGGAGAGACATGCTGGATGGAGTATGACTCTCCATGTTGGTGGCCTCTGGGAGCATTTCCAGAGGAAAAGTGAGGCCTCCTTGCAGGGTGGGCCTGGCTAGGACACAGGCAGGGGAGTGGGGCAGAAGGGCCTGAGAGGGGTCGGAGAGTGGCTTCAGAGGAGGTCTGATTGGCTGAAGGTGTTTAAGGAAAGGGGAGACTGGAACTCACTTGCAGGCAGTGGGGAGGGAAGAGTGGAGAGGAAGAAGGGTCCCCTGGGGGTGGGATGCAGTCCCGGAAGGGTTTGGGAAGGGAAACTCGGCTTCCCTGGAAGGACAGAAAAGGGAAAGAAAAGGGAAACAACACAGGGCTGTGTAGCCTGGGCCAGGCCCTTATTTTCCCAGGAAAAGGGACAGGGAAGGCCATAGGCAGCTCTCACAGGTTGGTGGGACAGAGGCTGCGGAGAGTAGATGAGGCTGGGTGGGAGTGAGGCTGAGCCACCAGGGAGAAGAGAGTTTTGATGTGTTCTGGAGCCTCAGACTGAGCCTGGTGGTGGCCGGGGCACCCTCCCCTTGAGGACCAGTGGGTGGGGAGGGCAGGTGGGTACTGTGGGATGTCAACTGTGCATCAGAGAGGAACTGCCCGGGGAAGGAGGGAGGGGAAGGACCCCTATGAGCCAAGTTGCAGCAGAACACAATCCCACCCTGAAGCCACACTCACAGGTATGCAAACACTGCCTTCAGGCAGCGCTGCTCAGAAACAGATTCGGGCTTCGAAATAATGATGTCTCTGCTCTGGTCCCCAGACCCTATCCAAAGCAGTCTGCAAGCCCGTGCCTGTTCCCTGGGCTGGGTCTGTCCCCTGAACCTCAGGGTCTCCCTGACCCTGGGCCATACTTGAGTTTGGGGCTCGCCTTAAGAAGTGAAGTTCTTACTGATGAAATATTTGGGGTGGAGTGTCCTCTCTCTCAGGAGGGAGAGTCGGAGGAGAGTGAGAAGGAGGAAGGAAGGAGAGAGGGAGGGAAAGAGGGTTTTCTTGGCTTCTCTCTAATCCCATCTTGCAGGCAACTCCCTACCCCCCCCCCGCCCCCCACCCGAAGCAGCCCCCTTCCCAAAGCTCCTTCCCTCTCAACACCCCCCTCCCTGTTCCCCAGTCCTGACCCTCTCTTTGTCACACACA